TTAAGCCATTTCAAGCCATTTCTGTATTTTGGATACTGCTGATCTTATTTTCTCCTACTTTAAGATTTTCCATTAATATATCCATCACCTTGCTAATGTCAAAACGTACATGAGTACAATTTGCCAGTTTGTCTGCTACATATTGGAACTTTCCCCTTTAGATTATTTTTCTATGGTATTTGTCAGATTAAAGCCACAAAACAACTGGATTGATGATTCCTTTGACACTATTTTTCTCAACTCTGTATACTAGGTCTCATCTAGGTGATTTAATCATCTAGAAACAAGACTCCCTCCCAGTGCCGCAACAGTTTTATCAATCATGTATAGGATGTTACTAAGGCAAGTAATTAATAAGATTGTTGTTCCTAACAATTATGCTTAAACAGAGAACTGTAATGAAACAGGAAAATAACAAACTCCCTATGAACAGTGACCATCCTTCAATGTATGGAAGAAAAAACAGGAATGGAAGTAAATATACACTAAGCACTTGATAAACCATAAAGTGGAATGTGACAGATATGCACTTGTATGATTATGCTGCTTTGCTCAGTTAAGTAGTACAGAGAAATTATAGATTACAGAGGTGAAAAGAGGGAAAGAGAGGAGAGAGAGAAAGAAAAAACAGCAAGAAGAATACTTTTCTTCCCTTTCTTCCCTATTGTAGTCGTAGAAACTACATACTCCTTGTTAGTACAGCACCCATTTCAGTGGAAAACTCTTCAGACAAATGAGTCTTTTGCTTGGATATTTGAATATGCATAAGAATAATTTTGTCAGAAAGTGGTGCAATTTTTTCTCAGCCTAATAATACAGTTTGCTTATTCCTTAATGAAATAGATGGGTTGGTTTGTTGACTTTTTGGTTGGTATGTTTGTGATATGATCAAGCTAAATCTCGGATATTTCCCTATGGAAAATTGTATTCTGTTCAGTGTAAACTGAAACCGGAAATACCACAGAAACTGTGAACTCCTGTAGATGTCACTACAACTATTCTTCGGTTCACTTACTTCACTTTTCATTTCCACATCAAGGCACTACTTCTTGCTCCCTAAACACTGGTAATTGTTGAATGTTGGATGTTGCTGAGGCTTTTCTATTCCAATTTCTGTCTCTGATATAAGTCATGGAGCTTACTTTTTCTCTTTTAATCATCTACTCAAGTGATTGGAGATCAAATAAATTGGACTATTTAGTAACTGCTTCAGATATTTCCCACTTGGCTCTTATTTTTCTCTGCTTGATTTTAAAAGACCTTTAAGTTATCCCTCTCTTACTTTCAAAATAAAACACTGTGCTCTGCTCTCAGCTGCACCATGGAAGGGAGCAAACTACAGGTCTTGAAGTTCTGGCTGGTGACAACAAATCTCCACGAACACCAAGGAATTCTAAAAAATACAGTTAAATGTGATCTTGCAACTTCAGTGTATGCTGATCAAAAGCTTGCTACTAACAGAAAAAATGTTGGGGTTTTTTTGTTTTTAATCAAACATTTTTTCCCGAGTTACAGCCTAATGGCATAAAATTATTTCTGACACATCTAAATGTTTCCTCACAGCTATAGTTTAAAAAGTGTACCTTTCTCAAATAGCCTTAAAAACCTCCAAAAAATCAGCTCAGGCCCTAAATTGAAGAGGATGTCTTTGTTATCTGCTTCCTTCATTCACATATTCTATATGAGTGAAAAGTTAAAATTTATTAAACCTACTGAAGTTCTAGTATGGCTTCTGGTATATCTGATTCAGGTTCTGTAACTTGCTTTCCTGGCTTCTCCTCTTTCTTGTTCTCTTCCATTTTTTTGGTTGTACTTGTGCTAGAAATGAAGGGGGGAAAAAGACATAGATGAATGTATAAGATTTCATATATTCATTGGCCTTTGTCACTTGTGACAAGTTTCTAACAGTTCTGAAATAAAACTAGTTGGGTTTTTGACAACAATAATCCTGCCCAGGATAGTGCTCAGGCCCATGTTTTTGGGGCAACCTGAAGTATCATTCTGAGTAGATTCAGTGTTCTCTATCACCAGTTACTCATTGCATCCCTTGCTGTGGGCTGTGTTGTACATTCTTGCAAATCAAATCAGCAATTGTTCTTTATCCAGTCCTTTGTTTCTTTATCAGACTTGTTTTATCAAGTCCATTTGTTAATATGCACCTCTTTCCCTTTCTTTCTGTTCTCCTAGCACTATGAATATTTCCCTTTCACTGCAACTCCGATACCAGTTTTTATCGTCAGAGCTGGAACAAAACCACTTTCTGAAGGGATATGCATGTCAGCAGTATTCCCTGGGCATGTTGTCACAACTACCAACCTCAGAATTCAACTGTCAATGAATAATTCTGTAATGGAACTAGTATCATATATTATATAAAATTAAAAAGTCACAAGAAAGGCACTTACGAAAATACCTCACTTTTAGCAGTCACATAATCAAATGAACCTGAACAGTTTATATAGTATAGGAAGGTTTATTACTGAATGAGTAGAAACATTGTATATACCCTGTCTTCATACTAATAATAGCTGAAATTGATAACAACTTGTTCTGTGACTAAACAAAGCAGGCTGGATACATTTTCACTATTAAAATGAGCACAAGTAAACAGGAAAAAAAAGTCAGTGGAAAGCCACATAAAGAAGCCTGTAAAATCAAGTTAAACCAACTATCAACAGAGACACTGTAATCTATATACAGACCCATGCCTTCTCACCTCACTCATCATATCCTGCAGCAAGGCAAGGTCAGCTTTCTGAATACAAAATAACTTTCTATCCTATTTCACATACAACCTTTGCAGTTTCCTATTCAATACAATATTTTTTCATGAAACTTTAAAAAATCCTAAACTTAGTGTATTTTAAAAAGAGATTTTAAAAAACCCAAACAAGTGAATTAAGAAAAAAAAAAATCTCACTAAGGTGAGAAATTAGGTACTTTGCTCCTCCTAGACCCCTTTGGAATTTCCAGCCCAAATGCACAAGTGCAGGTTACACTTGTTAAGTGTAAAAAAGAATCTGTCATACTTCTTCAGTGCAGAATTAACTGGATTTGTATCGATTCCATTTTCACTTGACCACTTATTTTACTCATTTTCCTCAGAAACAGAAGATCACTAGAGCAATCCCTAAGGTTATTTTTTAATTTCTGTCCCTTTCTCTAAATGGATAATCAGGTCCCCCGCTTAAAACTGGATACAAATGTGAAATTTTGAGCGGTAGTATTTTGAAAAGGTTTAGGGCCTTTTTTTTTCAACTCCAGACACTGATGAGCTCCAGTGATATATTTATTAAATTCTTCCCAACCAGGGGGCAACAAGAAAGCCTCCAAGCTATACGAGGTAAACCCCCCCCATACTACAATAAAGGATTTTCTGGATTTTGCAAACCACAGAAAACACACACATATGAGAGAGAGGGGAACATGTTTAGGGGAACTGAGAATCGACTGCACATTTTAAACCAGTAGGAATACCTTTGCAGAAGGAAAGATCTATTACTTCTCCCAAACAAATAAGCAATGAGGCATAACTCTTGACAAACCCCCATTATCAGTACCAGCACTTTCTCAATCAATAACTACACTGCCATTGCATCCTTAGAAGGAGCAGGCAGTTTCCTGACACTGCAACCCAAGTACTATCACTTTATAGACACTCTTTACAGAGACCACCTGTATGGCAGCTAACCACTCTCATGAGCTCAATCACTATCATTGGTCCCACCCACACCAGCACTTGCACTCACACTATATCTCTGTACGTCAAGCAGCTGCACCACCAGTAGCCTCCACTCCCTCAGTCCCCATCGATCATAGAATCATAAAATATTATGTTGGAAGGGACCCATAAGGATCATTGAGTCCAACTCCTGGCCCTGCACGGGACAACCCCAAGAGTCACACCATGTGCCTGAGAGCATTTTCTAAACACTTCTTGAACTTTGTCAGGCTTGGTGCTGTGATCACTTCTCTGGGGAACCTGTTCCAGTGCCCAATCACCCTCTGGGTGAAGAACCTTTTCCTAATATCCAACCTAAACTTCTCCTGACAAAACTGCAGGCTGTTCCCATGGGTCCTGTCCCTGGTCACCACAAAGAAGAGATCAGTGCCTGCTCCTCCTCTCCCCTCACAAGTTGTACATGAGACCTGCAACGAGGTCTCCCCTCAGTCTCCTCCAGGCTAAACAGACCAAGTGACCTCAGTCACTCCTCATATGGCTTCCCCTCAAGGCCCTTCACCATTCTTGCAGCCTTCCCTTGGACACTCTCTAATGGCTTAATGTCTTTTTTACGTTGTGGTGCCCAACACTGCACACAATATTCAGGGCGAGGCTGCCCCAGTGCAGAGCAGAGCGGAACAATCCCCTCCCTCGACCGGCTGGCGATGCCTTGTCTGACGCCCCCCAGGACTCAGTTCGCTCTCTTGGCTGACAGGGCATTGCTGGCTCATATTCAGCTTGCCATCGACCAGGACCCCCAGGTCCCTTCCGTGAGGCTGCTCTCCAACCTCTTTTTCCCCAGTCTGTAGGTACATCCACGGTTGCCCCGTCCCAGGTGCAGAATCCGGCGAATTGATTACCTCAGTCACGCCGTGACACTGTGCAGTCACACTGTATCCGCTTCCCAATCTCCAAAGTACACTAACAACTCCGTTCCTAGCCGACCCTTCCCTTGCACGTATCCCCTACAACCCCCTTCACCACCAGGCACAGCAGTGGACAAAGCTGGGCCACCCCTCACCGAGGCCCGCAGCCCCAGACCCCACCGACCCTGTCCCCCTTGCGCCGGAGCCCCCCCCCCCGCCCCCCGCCGGCCCTGTCACGCTGTGCCCAAGCCCTCCCGCACCGCCCGCCGCCCCCGAGCACCCACCGCCAGAGTTCCCTGTCAGCCCGAAGCAACACCGGTCGCCATCGCAACGGGGCCCTGCCCCGCCCCGCGGCGCGTTCCGGGGGCCGGCAGCGCCCTCTGCCCCAGGAAACGGGAAACACAAAATGTCAGCGACGGCACAGGGATGGTTGGGAGTCCTGACAGGGGTTTCTGTGAGGCAAAGCTCGTAGGATGGCCCGCATTTCGCTCAAGTGGGTACCTGCAGTGCCAGACTGAAATCCTGAGGTAAAATTGCATCTCTCTTCAAGAGGGCGTGTCCCAGCCCCGCAGTGATACAGTCCCACACCGAATGTGAGCTGGGTCACCCATGACCGCAGAGCTGCTTTCTTAGGAGCAACCTCCCTAAGCTGTCCGAGGCACTGAGGTGGAGCCTTGGATGGCTCCTGCACCAGCCGTACACTGCTCCCTGTAGCCCCTTTGCCCCATGCACCAGTGCAAAAAGCCATGCCCCAGAGCTGGGGACAGGGCACAAGAGGATGGAAAGTAAGGCTGGAGTCTGATCCTGAACTACATCTGCGTCTCTCATCCTGGACAGCAGACCACCATCGACTTTGGATTGGCTCTGTACGTTTCCCTCCTTCATAGGACACCAGTGCCTGAACCACATAACCCTGGGAGCCATACTCGATCACAGAAATAAATTGTGAATCACTAAAGAGCACTAAAGAGCCTTTGTCCTCATTCTTGGGCAACATAGAATCAGAAAGGATTGTGTTGGAAGGGAACTTAAAGATCATCTAGTTCCAAGTCCCCTAGGGCAGAGATATCACCCGCTAGTTTTGATTGCTCAGGGCCCCATCCATCCTGGCCTTGAACACTTCCAGGGATGGGGCATCCACAGGTTCTTTGGGCTCTCCTCTTTTACTTTAAAACCATTCACCCTTGTCCTGTAACTATCTGCCCGTTTAAAAAGTCACCCTTCCTCTTTTTCACAAGTCCCTTTTGAGGACTGGAAGGCTGCAATTAAGTCTCTCCATAGCTCCACAGGTCTCTCTTTTCTCCATGCTGAACATTCACATTTTCTAACTTTGTTCAGAGTTTTTGGCTGTCCCTATGGGAACTTGTGTTCTCCTATGACAAGTTCTGTTTGACATAGTACAGCAATCCCTGTAATTAAGGCATATTCATTAAAATAAGGACAAAACACTTTAAGTCCTACAGGCAGATATCATAATATGCAATGTATCTATATTGAAGACAGTAGGACAATGCTGTTTATTTTCATCCAGTGCCCCACATAACTGTTCAAATCAGAAAGCCAAGAAAAGAAAGAAACAAACAAACAAAACCCCAAATCATAAAAAAATACTGCCCTTTAATTTCCTTCTCCTGTATTATGGACTGACTGATGCTATTAGGATACAGTAGCCAGCTGACACATAAGCCAGACTTTGAATACAAGGCAGAGAAAAAGAAAGAAGAGAGTCTTAAGTCAGCTGGCAAAGTTGTGAACTTCATACTCTATAGCATGAGATCTTTAAATCACACTATATTTAAATCACACTATGCCAAAAGGTAACAGTGCTTAAACCTGACTGTTAAACCTTTGCAATTTTTATTTGCATGGGCAGACAATACTTACATCTTTTAGAAAGACTAAAAATACTTTGAGAATTTTAAGTCCTTATTTTGCAGGTTAGCAGTGCTGCTAGAATCAGGTAGTGCTTTCAGCTATTCTTTGACTCTCTGTTAAGAAGCTTGAATATGGAATCACAGAATCATAGAATATCCTGAGTTGGAAGGGACCCACAAGGATCATCAAGTCCAGGTCCTGATCCTGCACAGGACCACCCCAAGAATTGCGCCATCTGCTCCGTAGTCTTCCTGGAGCCTGCTCTGTAGTTCCCTAGATCCTTCTTCTTGCCCTTGAAAATGGGTGTCCCATTTGCTCTTTAGTGGTCATCAGGAACCAATATATACTATGTATGAAATATATATAGCATTTATATATGTATAAAGAGGTTACCTAAAGGGAACCAGGAAGAGAAGATGGAGAAGAGCCTTGGGCCACTTCTGGGAGTTTCAGCTCTGGTTTTCGTGTTGCCTAACCTTCAGTGGAGGACAAGTCTTACAATAAAACTGACTCTAAAGCTGGTTCCTGTTCTCATCCCATCCCTAATGCTGCTGAGTTTCCCACTGAACTGTCCTACTAACTTTACAACTGGAGGAGAAGTTCTCATGTTTCTTTAAACTTCTTTTTTTCTCTTTGTGTTTCTTTTTAACTTTGGAAATCTGATAAGAGAGGGTAAAGCCACATGAGACTAGAAATTTCCATGCACAGTGCTAGAGCCATTTTTTGTATATCACTATCACATGGAATTTGTTTTGGCTCCATGTTCTGATCAAGTTCAAAATGGCAAATTCACATTTTTAAGGACACATGTAGATACAGAACAATTGTCAGAGACTAGAACTACATATTGAAAGGACCAGAAAGCACCTAGTATAAAGAGTTTAATGACAAAGAACTATATAATTAAACATAAGACATCATTTCTCATCAAGTGCAAAGCAGACACTATCTTAATCTGTCCTTGAGGAAAACTGCAGTTATTCCTAGAATCCTTCTCACCTCCTAGAAATCATTAAAGAGCAAATTAGAGTTTCATGTCTCTTCCTCAGCTAGGCATTTAAGAGCAATCTCTAGCAGTGCAGCATAGGAGAGTAAATTTAAAGATGCCCTGGTCAGTGGCATCAGGACTTAAATTAGTTTTGGCTGGGAGCAAAAGAGAAGGAAAATGATCAAGCCCTAGTCATGCACATTTGAACTTTAAAGCCATTTCTTTCATGGTCATTATTATCAAACCAATCTCTTTCTTACCACAGAGGGATTTATATACACCTAAATTACCCACACCATTCCCTTTCACAGTTTACACCTTCAGTATACATTTTCTTATAATGTTTTAAAATAAGTTTTAAATTATTTTAAAAATATTTTTGAAGACTTACTTTTTAAATATGTAAAGAAATGTCTTCAGCAGGTGCAGGGCATGAGAAGATAAGCAAACTTACCATCTCTCTTTACATGTTACTGGCTCATTTTATCCCCTTACCTCTGTGCTTTAATGTGTTTGTTTCTCTCCAAACCTTCATCCCTCTTTTTTCCACACCTTTGGCTGGTCCCCTGAATATCCCATGGTAGGTCTTGTGCAACCTTAAAATCCTCTTCCCTTGGATTCCACATCATGCCCTACCCCAGCAGTGATCCCTCCCCCCACCCCTGGTCTGTAAGGTACTGGGATTCCCTGGGAAGGGGTGTGCCTCTGATGGGATTACAGGGGCTCCCCCTCCTGCCTCTGTGCTCCATCATGTGTTCGGAGATGGACCTTGATGTGCTGAGAGCTCCTGTGGTGGATTTGGGAGCAGCCAGGCAGGGTATTTGTCAGGCTCCTCCACCTACCATTGTTTCTCTGTCTTCCTTTGTGCACATGGAGAACTTTTCACCCCATTACCTAACAGAAGATTTTAAAGGAAAAAAAGACCTTGGGGCCCAGGAGCCAAATGAAGGATGAAAACCAAGAGGTGATGTGGTCAAAGCCACCAGCCAGGGAAATATCACTACAGCAATTAAATCAGCAACATCTGAGTTAGCTGTGATTAGTGTTAGTTCATCAGAGAGTGGCTGAGTGTCAGAGGAGATTGAGATTTTGTCTGCAGGAAGCGGGAGGAAGTGAAGCAGTATCAGGTGGATTTGCTTCACTGAAAATTACTGTCTCTTCATCTATTACCTGCTATTTTTTAACCACACTGAGTTTGGGAGTGAATGGACTCAGAATGGGAACACAGTGGGGAAGTAATTTGAAGCAGAGCTGCTGCAAGTGAGAACCAAGCCAGGTCACCGGCCAGCAGATGTGGGCAGGTGACACACGGGCTGCCCTCAGGGTACAGCGGCCCTGCTCCCGGGCCAGAGACAGAAATCCTCCAGTTGCCCTAAACCAGAACTAAATCAATTAAATGAAGGGCCGCGAGAAGAACATAAGGGGAAAATACCACCACACCAGCTCTCCACGTGCCAGGGGTCGGTGCTGTCTCCCTGCTCACAGAGGGAGGGACTCCGGCTTCAGAAACCTCCGTGGTGCCTGACTGCTGAGCAACAGGCTCTGAGACGGAAAGGTCCCGACATCCCATGAAATGACGGCATATGTATTTTATGCCACTAATTAAACAGAAAAGCTCTTACAGCGGCTTCCTGGGTAAATAGATGACTGAAACCTCTGTTATCTCTGCTCGTATCTTTACTGCAAACAGGGGCGTATGTTCACACCTCTCGGGTTGCCTGTCACCAGGTAAAGTGAAATACCGATCATTGTCCCTCCAGGCAGCTCGTCAAGTCGAGGCGATACTCCCTGCGTGGCCTTTGTGCGGAATAGTCACTGCTCGCTGTAGAGCTCCTGCCTCCACGAGAGGTGCCCGCTGACACCGGCCCTGAAGACCTCCCAGCCCCGCAGGCAGCGTCCCCGCCCCGGTGGCTGCCGCAGGTGACACGGGCGGGAGCGTGGCCCCGGCGGGGGCGGGCCCGGTGCGGGGGGAGCCGCCCCGCTCGCAGGGACGCGACGCCGGCATTGGCCCGGCACTGGCCCGGGGCGGCGGGACGGGCTCTACCTCTCCCTGCGCCGCCTCCCTTCCCTCAGACGAGCCGGGAGGAGGAGCGGGGCTGCGGCTGCCGGTGAGGACCGGGTCACCGGCACTGTCTCCAGCCGCAGGGAAGCGCTGGGGGAGCCGCGGAGGGGGCGGCAGGAGAGGTGAGGCTGCCTTAAAAAGGGGCTCTGGGGGTAGGCGGGGAGTGTCTTGTAGATGGAGTAACTCGGAGTCGAAAAAAGGGCATAGAAACCACCCGCGCCGGGATAGCGTGAGAGCGAGTCCGTTGTCCCATGAGGAGTCCTGGCTCCAAGGCTTAGGCAGCCAGGCTGGTCCGGAGTGGTTTTGTGCCGTGGTCAGTTTGCAGGGCCCATTCACCTGCTGTCTGGGGAGCTCTCACAGGTGTGTCACCGGCCCGGCCCCGCTTGCTGGAAGCGCCGCTTGCCAGAGGTTTTCCTCAGACTCGCGCTCGAGAGCTCCTCGCCTGGGGATGCCGTGCTCCGGGACATCCCGCTGCTGCTGCCGAAGGGAGCTCCAGGCCCCTGTCAGGGGCTGAGAGCCGAGTAACTGTCAGAACTTACCGGCGCCGAGCTCCTGTAGCCTGCTATAATGAAAGGACTCTCTCTATTTAAAGAGAGCACTTAGATCTCAGCTGAGAGATGTTAATGATCTTTGTGTAAATAGTAAACACTTAAATTTCAAAACACTGAATTATTTGCATCTTCCACGCTGTCTCTGGAATGACTTGCAGAGTTGGACCTGGCCCTAAAGTTTAAGGCACTCAGTTGTATCTTTCCTGTGTAAGCAGAAGGATCTGTTTATGTGATTGCCATTGCAGGATGAAGGTCGCCTAAATCTGGGGACAGACTGTCAAGTGACTAGTATTTTTGAGCTTCCTCAAAAAGTGTAAGGGGAGGAGAATTAGAACAAGTTGTGGTGGTGCATTCCCCCCATTCATTTATGACACATACTTGACAGGATGCTCTGAAAAGAAACTTGATTTTTTTTGCTAAAAGAAGTGATCAAAGTGTTGCAACAAAACATTTGTGCGTTTACATGTATCAGAGAATTGAAG